TCCGCCAACACTTCACCATCGCCTTGAAGGAAAAGCACATCACAGATATGGTGTGCCCTGCCTGTGGCCGCCCCGACCTCACCGATGACACACAGTTACACAGCTACTTCTCTACCCTTGATATCCAGGTATTGCAGCCTTGAGGGTTCAGATGCATTAGGCTTTGAACAGGGACTGTACCCATCCACAGCACCTCTGCCTCTTGTCCCCAGCTTCGGGAGAGTCTAGAGCCAGATGCCTATGCACTGTTCCTTAAGAAACTGACTGAGGCCGAGCTAATGCGGGACCCCAACTTCTTGTGGTGTGCCCAGGTCAGTGGCCAGCCCAGAAGAGCTGACTGTGGAGGGACAGGGATGATGCAGGTAAGGCCTTGAATAGCTTTATGTTCTCACACTCACAGTGCTCCTTTGGCTTCATCTATGAGCGTGAGCAGCTGGAGGCGACGTGTCCCCAGTGTCGCCATACCTTCTGTGTCCGCTGCAAACGCCAGGTGAGTCTCAGTGTTCATTAAGTCTCAGTATTTACTGAGCTACTTCCAGGTATTGTGTTAGACTCAGGGAGAATATTGGAAGGCAAAGCAGACATGAGCACTTAGTGCAAAGAACTTGCTAGGTAGGAAGCCATGCCCAAGAGGAGGGGGAAGAGGGAGAGAGGGAGGAAGAAGGAAGAAAGGGGGAGGAAAGAGGGGGAAGAGGGAAAGCAGGAAAAGGGAAGGTAGAGAAAGAAAAGGGAAAAGAGGCAGGACAGAAGAAAAAAAAAAGGGAGGGAGTAAATAATTTTACATAGCCATAATAAATTCTGTAAAGAAAACAGTAGAAATCTGAGTTATGGAATAGCAGCATGGACCTACTGAGGATAGAGAGGTCAAAGAAGTCCTCTCTAATATGATTTAATTTAAGCTCAGGCCTGAAAGTTGAGAAGCCAGCCATGCAGAGAGTGTTTGGGACAGAGAGCACAACCCATGAAAAGGCCTAAGTGAGGAAGTGTTGTGTGGCTGGATCCAGACAGCCATTAAGGCCAAGCCAGGCACACATGTGCCTTCATTCCAAGACTAAACAGGGGCTCACATATCTCATTTATTGTTTAAGAAATGTAGTGTTTGCTGGGTGTGGTGGCGCATGCCTGTAATCCCAGCACTTGGGAGGCTGAGGCAGGAGGATTGCTGTGAGTTCAAGACCAGCCTCGGCTACATAGTGAATTCCAGGTCAGTCTCAACTACATAGTGAGACCCTGTCTCAGAAAAACAAACAAACAAAAAAGTAACATTTGATACCAAAAGACTCACCTCTACATGGAGAATGTGTCACAGGACATGGAAGTGAAAGAGAGACTAGTCACCCAAGCAAGTAATTGAGGCAAGCCTTAAGGATGGCATGGAGAAACTTGGTGGCAGTAGGGATTAAAAAAAAGGGACAGGGTTGAGATAGGTTTGGAGTGGTAGAAACTAGACTTGTTCATGAATATGAGTCATGATATGAGAACATGGAAAAACCAAGGTGAGGGCTGGGGATTTAGCTCAGTGGTTCTACCACCTGCCTCGCAAGTGCAAAATCCTGAGTTTGATCCCCGGTACCAAAAAACAACAACAACAAAAAGATGGCCCCTAAGCATGGGAGCAAATAGTGAGTGACAGTGACATACACTAAACTGGGAACCACCAGGTGTGAGCGGAAGGGCCAGGGCATGGGACAGAGCTCCTTTCCTTCTGGCAGTGGGAGGAGCAGCACCGAGGACAGAGCTGTGAGGATTTCCAGAACTGGAAACGCAATAATGACCCAGAATACCAGGCCCAGGGCCTGGCAATGTATCTTCAGGAAAATGGCATTGGTAAGGCTGCCCTTCTGGTCTCTCTGCTTAGTAGTCTATGATTGGCAGCAGTTCTGCCCTTGAGGGGCTTGAGTTGCAGTGGCAGCCCCAGCCCTGATCCGCTCCCTTACAGACTGTCCTAAATGCAAGTTCTCATACGCACTGGCTCGAGGAGGCTGCATGCACTTTCACTGCACACAGTGCCGCCACCAGTTCTGCAGTGGCTGCTACAATACCTTTTATGCCAAGAATGTGAGCTCAGACAGTGGGGAAGGGAGGGAAAGATGGGGGGCTGCCTTTGGGTTTGAGGGGCTTTTCCCTTTCTCCTATCCCCCTTATGCAGGGGTTCCTGAGAAGCCAAGACCCCAGCAGTCCCTAAGTTTTCCTCTCCCATCCGGCTTTCCACCAGAAATGTCCAGACCCTAACTGCAGGGTGAAAAAGTCCCTGCATGGTCACCACCCCCGAGACTGCCTTTTCTACCTTCGAGATTGGGCTGCTGGCCGGCTCCAGAAGCTGTTACAGGTCAGAGGTGGCTGGCCTGGTTGGGTTTGCAGGTTGTTGGGAGGAGGACGAAGAAGGGTTTAGGGTGGGCATGAGTGGGAACATTCTTACAGGGTCCAAAGTAGGCACAGAAGACTAGGAAATGCAACAGTAGCTGGCATCAGGGGGAACATAACACCCATTGTCTCTGTCCCTCCTCAGGACAATAACATCATGTTTAATACAGAGCCTCCGGCTGGAGCCCGGGCAGTCCCTGGAGGTGAGTGTGGACACGCCTCTGAGAAGGGGAGATGGTGTGCTGGACTCCTACGGCTATGTGGGAGTGGCCAGCTAATTATCCTCCCAGGTCTTGTTATCCCCTCTCTAAAATGAAAATGATAATATTCATTTTGCTGCTAAGCTGTTTTACAAAATTAAAGCTCATTGCCCTTATGCTGTTTCTTCTCACATTCTCAAATGATAATGCCTCATTAATCAACTGTGGGAGTATTTAACGAGACCTGCTGGTTTCAGGGCACCATTTTAGGTCCCATGAGGGCCACAGGTTAGTTAACTATGCAGGAGCTAAATATCAAGAAAGATATGAGAGAGTCTGTGATTATGGGCCAAAAGTCACCATAAATAAAAGTAGGGACCGCCAGGTCCCTGCTTCTGTATTGGAGTTGGTGTACTGCTGATGGCATCTCTAAGGAGCCCACTGCCACCCAGTGGAGCCCGAGTTCCGCGCTCCATCCTCTCCCTGGAGGCTGCCTCCACATGCCCCATGAATATCCCAAGTCTCCAGGCTTTTGGAGGGCCCGTCCAATGGCTCCCTCCCCACTTCCTCCCCCTACCCTTAGGTGGCTGCCGAGTGATGGAGCAGAAGGAGGTTCCCAATGGGCTCAGGGATGAAGCTTGTGGCAAGGAAACTCCACCTAGCTACGCGGGCCTCTGCCAGTGAGTGCTGGGCTGGGCACAGAGCGCGGTGTTGGGGGTGTGAGATAGACCTGGTAAGTGTGGCCAGGCCATAAAGTAGGGTTTCTGGGAGCAGTAGGTCCTGCAGAGTAGGAGAAAGGAGTCTCTTTTGGAAGGGGCATGGATGGATAGTAGAAGTAGACACTGGCTGGCATTACCTTACAAGTATAACAGGCAGCAATTATCGGTTTGGTTTGGGTTTAGGTTTTTTGAAACAGTCTTGCTGGGTAGTTCAGGCTGGCATTGAATTCCCTATGTAGTCCATACTGCCCTCGAACTCACAGAAATCCTCCTGCCTTAGCCTCCCAAGTGCTGGAATTGCCAGTGTGTGCCACCATGCCATTGTGATACTGGAGATTGAACCTGGGGCCTTCCCACTGAGCTACATCCCTATCTTTGACATAGGGTCTTCCGGAGTCACTGAGTTGCCTAGACTAAGGTCTTGAAGTTACTAAGTTGCCCACAGGCTGAGGCCAAACTTGTGATCCTCCTGCCTCAACCTCCCAAAGTGCTGGGATTAGAGGCATGCACCAGCATGTTCAGCTAGGAGCTGTCTTGTTTGTCTGAGGGTCCCAGTGCCAAGCAAGGTGCTAGGCCCACTCAGTTAATATGAATCAACAGGAGAACAAATGTCCTACTCCCTCATTTCCCAGGGCACACTACAAAGAATATCTTGTGAGCCTCATCAATGCCCACTCATTGGACCCAGCAACTCTGTATGAAGTGGAGGAGCTAGAGACAGCCACTGAGCGCTACCTACATGTGCACCCACAGCCCTTGCCTGGAGAGGATCCCCCTTCCTACCAAGCCCGTTTGTTACAGGTAATGCTTTCGTTCAGCCTTCTTCATACCACCTTCCAGAAGTCACCTATCACAGGCTGTTTTTCTGAACTCCAGGCATCCAGTATCATTATCCTCTCTCTTTCCTGCAGAAGCTGATGGAAGAGGTGCCCTTGGGACAGAGTATCCCCCGCAGGAGGAAGTAGCTGAGGGCAAGGGTCTTCAGGAGGGCCCAGTAGCCCAGCTCCCTCAGGAACAGCTCCAGCACCAATAAAGAGGCATCTTATTGCCAGGCTTCTTGGTGGTCCTTCTTCCTGGTCCCACCATCTAGCGGCACCAGGGAAACAGGGGTGAACAGTTTTGCTGAAAGGGTCTCCTGCTGCCTGCTATCTCACCCACCCTGGACTTAGGCAAGGAAGAAATTGGCATCATGGAAGGGCAGGGAGGCTCTCCCCCATCCAACCACTTGGCCTGGGCTTCCCTCCAGGCCTCCCTTCTTCCTTTCATGGAATTCAGCTTGTATGGGAGGTCACCCGACTGTACCAAGTGGCCATTGTGGGGGGACACAGACACACAGGTGTGCATGTGATCCTGAAGCTCCACGCCAGACCTCAGGAAACCGGCCTTGTGAGGAGACAGCCGCGTTAGAAAAGGTCAGATACAAGCAGGGAGTGTCAGACAGGGAAGGGAAGAAGTCAGGCGGGAGCAGAGGGGAGCCCCCTGCTGCTGACAGTGGAACTGCGACAAATACTCAAGTGCTGCTTCCCTCTATTGGTAGCCGGTTGCTCTGCAACTCAGCGAACCACGTGATTTCTGGGAACGGGAAGTCTCTGGAGGAAAACTGAAACTTAGGGTGGGGGCTGTGAAAAGGGGCGGAGAGATCATACAGCTGCCTAGCCAGGAGCTGAGGTGCACTGAACCCTGGAACAACCCGGACAGCAGCTCAGGTAAGAGCAGCCGAAGATGGGCTACCCCTGGGGCCTAGAGCCAGAAAGCCCAGTAATATTGGCCGGCACCCCCAGGGAAGGGGGGCCACCATGGGGTCCTCTGCTGGAGGTTTAGACGAAAGGCCTGTGAGTCAGGAAAAAGGGTGAGTTGGCCTGAAAACAGGAGAGACTGATAAAGGCCAGTGTTCCAGGCCATCTCCAAAGGGGCAGAGAAGAACTGCGGCCTGTGGGTCTGGAGGAAGGCTCTTAGCCCAGCCTCAGTTGACCCTGTTTGTTTCCTTGCCCTCTGGCTCTGCCCACTTCTGCTGTAGCTCTGCCTCTGACCTGGCTCCTTGCCCTACCTCCCCCTTGGGCAAACAGAGGAGGACCAAAGGTCAGAGTTGGGTTGTGGGAGGATAGGTAAAGAGGGTTGAGGAATCATCTCGGGAGACCCTCTCTGCCTGGGCAAAGGATTGCTGGGCCTCTCTGCTGAAGCAGAACACCAGGGGAATTTTCTCTCCCAAACAAGCTGATGCTGAAGTCTTACGACCAATATCTAAGGTTTTCTTGCAAGTATCAACTTGGAATATTTAAAATAATTACTAATGGGCTAGGGATTTAAGTCAGTGGTTCCACTGCCTGCCCCTGCAAGCACGATGACCTGAGTTTGATCCCCAGTACCAAAAATAAATAATATAATTACTAGTGATGGCAGAATCGAAGTAATTCTGGCTCAAAAGGTGGTGTGGCGGTGCAGGCCTGTAATCCCAGCATTTGGGAGGCTGAGACGGGAGGATTACCAGGAGTTGGAGGCCAGCCTGCGCTACATAGTGAGCTCAAGGCCAGCCTGAACTACATAGCCAGACCCTGTTTCAAAAAAAAAAAGACCAAAAAAAATCTGCCTCAGAGAAGGTTGAGGTATGTGTAGAGCCAAAAGACAATGAATGTGTCTCTGGGGGCCGTTGCCAGAAGCTAGCCTCAGTGGTCAGGGGCTTAGCAGGTGTCCCTCCCTGAGTCCCGGTTGTGATGCTTGATGCTGCTCTTTCTCCCAGGATGGCGTCAGGCAGGGCTCGCTGCACCCGGAAGCTCCGAAGCTGGGTGGTAGAACAAGTGGAGAGTGGGCAGTTCCCTGGGGTGTGCTGGGATGATGAGCCAGCTAAGACCATGTTCCGGATTCCCTGGAAGCACGCAGGCAAGCAGGACTTCCGGGAGGACCAAGATGCCCTCTTCTTCAAGGTGAAAGGGCCTGGAACCCGCTACCCCCTTGGGGATGAAATACACACTGGTGTGCTTGCTCTCCAGCCCTTTTGTCTCTCTCTGGGTTTCAGATAAGGGGCAGTTTGGGGCCAGCTGTGCTATTTGTAAAGCTCAGTTCAAAATGAAAATGCTGAATCTTACATTAAAAGATTATTAAGGCTTTCAAGATGGCACCGGGTGTGGTGGCACACTTGCAATCCCAGCACTCTGGGAGTTAAGGCAGGAAGATCCGAAGTTTGAGTCCCACCTGGTTAATATGGCACAGACCTTACTTCAAAGAGGGCTGGGAATTAGCTCAGTAGGAAGGTCCTAGGTTCAACTGCCAGCACTGCAAACAAAGATTTCAAGAAAGCAGCAGAACACAAACCTAATATAAGGTCAGAATGAGGCACAGTTGAGACCACCAAGGCAGGCAAAATTAAAGTTTATTATCATCTTGGTGCAGATGGGCCAGGGGTGAAAAGGCCATTGGCACTGAGAGGAAGTTGTGTGCAGTCGATACAGAGGAGTATAGGTAGGGGAGGGGGACCTGATCCAGTGGTTGAAAAATTTTAGAGTCCCATGGGTGATGGGCCTGGGGCTGACTGATAAAAGGGCCATGGTGAGAGCAACAGGGCAGCCTGTGACTTTCTGTTATCTGTGCTCCTGTGGTTGTGGGTAGGAGGTCTGCTTGGGCAGGGGTCCGACTCAGGGGTCTGTCACCTAGCACAAGCCCGTCTGAGCTTACGGCCTTGCCTTTGCACAGGTCACAGGCCCTGGACCTAGCCCCATTGGAGGGACAGCTTTGCTATGTAACATGTTCCCCCCGTTTGCTTCCTCTCTTTATTAGGCCTGGGCAATCTTTAAGGGAAAGTACAAAGAGGGGGACACACAAGGCCCTGCTGTCTGGAAGACTCGTCTACGCTGTGCCCTCAACAAGAGTCCAGAATTTGAGGAGGTTCCTGAGAGAGGCCGTATGGATACTGCTGAGCCCTACAAGGTATATCGGCTGCTGCCTCCAGGAACCCTGCCTGGTGAGTGTGCACTTGACTGACCACCCAGCAGACTGAGGAAGAAGGATGGAGAGAGGAGCCTCCTAAGAGGGTGTGGGCCTGCTGAGGCCCCTCAGGCTTCTGCCCTGTCCCTGCCTTTGAGGAGCTGCTGCCCAGCTTCCCCTTCCAGTCTAGACCATCCCTTCAGACCCCTTGCCTCCCTTCTTTCCTAAGACGCTGTTTCTCTCCCGTCCACAATTGCACAGCCCAGCCAGGTACCCAGAAATCATCAAAGCGACACCACAGTTCTGTGTCCCCAAAGAAGGAAGAGGAGGAAGAGACGGTGAAGAGCTTCGCATTCAGTCCATCCTGCCTCCAGGACCCCTTCAGTAATGTGAGACCTGGGGAGGGGACTGAGTGGCCTGAGGTCAGGACAGTAACTAGAGGGAGAGGTGGGCTGATGTTAGACTCTGTGCAGGAGGAGGCAAGAGCTGCTGGGGGAGCAGGCCATCTAGACAGTGGGAGCAGCAGCAGCAGCCGTAGCCCTGACCCACAGGAAGGTACCATCTCCCCTGCCTCTTGTGTCTGCCCTATGGCACCCTCTGGCCCGTGGACTCCCCAGTCCCACTCTGAATGACCAGTGCCTTTGCCTCCCTTCCAGGTGCAGACAGCACTGAGGCTCCAGAGAATCAGATGGAGCATCTGCTCCCCAGGGACCCAGGTACTTGACATTTATGACTTTTTCCTGTTCCCTTCCCTTCCAAGTCTGCGTCCTCTGACCTTGCACCGTTTGTCTAGTCAGCCTTGTAGCAAATTGTGCCCGCCTTACCTTAGACAGAGGCACTGGCTTCTAGGTGGAGAATTCCATATACCTGACCACACTCCCCAAAGCTTCTTTTTCCCCCAGAAATACAACTTAACATACACAGCTCCCTGGATACCCCCATTGAGAGGCTTTTTGTTTTTGTTTTCTTTTTTTTGCACTGAGCATTGAACACAGAGAGCCTTGCACATGCTAAGCAACTGCTGTACAACTAACGCCCTGTCGTGTTTTTTTTGTTTTTTTTTTTTTTGTACTGGGGATCAAACCTTGTGCTTGTGAGGCAGGAGTGGCCCCACTGAGCTACATCCCCGGCCCAGCCCTATTTTGAGACAGGATTTCGTTAAGTTGGCCAAACTGGCCTTGAACTTTGAATCCTCCTGCCTCGGCCTCCTGAGTAGCTAGGATTTCAGGTGTGTACCATTAAGCCTGGTAAGACATTGATTTCTTTGCAACAGAAACCTGGTTTTAGGGCCCTCTTGTAAACAGAAAGTCTTTGGATATTAAGACCTGATGTGAAAGAGGCGGCAGGGATTTAGTTTAGTGGTTCTGCCGCCTGCCTCACAAGCACAAGGTCCCAAGTTCGATCCCTGGTACAAAAAAAAAAAAAAAAAAAAAAAAA